AAAAAAAAAAAAAAAAAAAAAAAAAAGATGCCGAAAAAGCATTTGACAAAATTCAACAGCCATTCATGATAAAGACTCTCATCACAGTGGGTATAGAGGGAACCTACCTCAATATAATAAAGGCCATTTATGACAAACCCATAGCTAACTTCATACTAAATGGTGAAAAGCTGACAGCATTTCCTCTAAGATCAGGAACAAACCAAGGATGTCCACTGTCGTTACTTTTATTCAAATAGCATTGGAAGTCCTACCCACAGCAATCAGACAGATAAATAAGAGTCATCCAAATTGGAAGGGGAGAAGTAAAACTGTCAGTGTTTGCAGATGGCATGATACTGCTTGCTTTCCTATGTACTAATAATGAACTATGATAAAGACAAAGCAAAAAGAGAATCCTGTTTAAAATCACATGAAAAACAATAAAATACCTAGGGAATAAACTTAACCAAGGAGGTGAAAGACCTATGCTCTGAAAACTATGAAATATTGATGAAGGAAATTGAAGATGATACAAAGAAATGAAAAGATGTCTGTGTTCATGGATTGGAAAAATTAATATTGTTAAAATGTCCATACTCCCCAAGGCAACTTACAGGTTCAGAGCAATCCTTATCAATATACCAATTTTTCACAGAACTAGAACAAATAATCCTAAAATTTATATGGAACCAAAAAAGATCCCAAATAGCCAAAGCAATCTTGAGAAAAAAAGAAGAAATCTGGACAGTCACACTCCCTGACTTCAGACTATACTCTAAAACTGCAGTCATCAAAACAGCATGGTACTGGCACAGAAACAGCCACATAGATCAATGGAACAGAATAAAGACCCCAGAAATAAACCCACGCACCTGTGGTCAATTAATCGATGACAAAAGAGGCAAAAACACACAATGGGGAAAAGATAGTCTCTTCAATAAGTGCTGCTGGGAAAACTGGACAACTACATGTAAAAAGATGAAATTAGAACATTTTCTCACGCCATATAAAAATATTAGACTCAAGATGTGTTAAAGATCTAAATGTAAGACCAGAAGCCATAAAACTCTTACAAGAAAACATAGGCAGAACACTCTTTGGCATAAGTCATAGCAATATTTGCATCTGTCTCCTCAGGCAATGGAAACAAAAGCAAAAATAAACAAATGGGACCTAAATAAAGTTTTCAGTGTGAAAGCTTTTGCACAGCAAAGGAAACGATCAACAAAACAAAAAGACAACCTTTTGAATGGGAATATTTGCAGATGATACAACCAGTAAGGCAAAATATGTAAACAGTTCATGCAACTCAACATCAGAAAAACGAACAAAAAGATTATAAAATGGGCGGAAGACCTAAATAGACATTTTTCCAAAGAAGACATACAGAGGCTAGCAGGCACATGAAAAGCTGCTCAACATCACTAATCATCAGGGAAATGCAAATCAAGATCACAATAACAAATACTGGTGAGATTGTAGAGAAAAGGCAACCCTCATACATTTGTAGTGGGAATGTAAACTGGTGCAGCCATTGTGACAAACAGTATGGAGTTTCAAAAAATTTTAAACATTATAGAACTACCATATGATCCAGCAATTCCACTTCTGGGCATATAGCCAAAGAAAATACTAATTCCAAAACTTATGTGCACTCCAGTATTCATAGCAGCATTGTTTATAGTAGCCAAGACATCAGAGCAACTTGAGTGTCCATCAGCTGATGAATGGACAAAGAAGAGGTGTAGCCACATAATGGAATACTACTCAGCCATAAAAGAGAATGGAATATTGCCATTTTCAGCAACATGGATGGACCTGGAGGGCATTATGCTTAGTGAAATAAGTCAGACAGAGAAAGACAAATACCGTATGATATCCCTTATAGGTGGATTCTAAAAAATAAAGCAAACAAACAAATATAATGAAACAGAAACAGATTCACAGATACAGAGAACAAACTAGTGGTTCCCAGTGGGAAGAGGGATGGGGGAGGGGCAAGATAGGGATAGGAGATTAAGGGATACAAACTACTGGAACTTCCCTGGTGGCACAGTGGTTAAGAATCTGCCTGCCAATGCGGGGGACACGGGTTCGATCCCTGGTCCGGGAAGATCCCATGTGCCGCAGAGCAACTAAGCCCATGCGCCACAACTACTAAGCCTGCGCTCTAGAGCCTGCAAGCCACAACTACTGAGCCCACGCACCACAACTATTGAAGCCCTCGTGCCTAGAGCCCGTGCTCCGCAACATGAGAAGGCCGCGCACTGCATCGAAGAGTAGCCCCCGCTCGCCACAACTAGAGAAAACCCGCTTACAGCCATGAAGACCCAACGCGGCCAAAAAGAAATAAAGTTTTTAAAAAAGGAGATACAAACTACTATGCGTAAAATAAATAAGCTACAAGGATATATTGTACAGCACAGGGAATAGAGCCAATATTTTATAATAACTTTAAATGGAGTATAATCTATAAAAATATTGAATCAATATGTTTGTACACCTGAAACTAATATAATATTGTAAATCAACTATACTTCAATTAAAAAAAGAAATAATTTTTAAAAGTCATTTTTTATGAAATCTATATTCTATTGATCCCTCTTTTAAACACATCTCTCTTCTTTCTCTAATTATGCTTCTGTATGTTATTCACTTCTCATCATTCCTCAAGGCTACATCCTGCCTCTACCCTGAAATTTAATACCTGCCTCCCTAAAATTCACGTTTGATGGATATGTGTTAGCACTCATCTGTTAGTAATATAGTAATGCATGAGCATTAAAAACTGTTTTGCCCCTTTTAAGGCAGTTTGTGCTTGTATGTGTATATGTATGTAACCTTTACCTTTTATGCTTTGCATGCCCTCAATAAATCCACTGTAAGAATTAACCAAAAAGAGGGAGAGAAGAGCACAACCTTGAAATTAAAAGCAAAACGAAGCATTAAATAAACCTACAGGCCAAAAAAAAAAAAAAAAATTCTCAATTTGACCTATGAGCCAAACTCACATTGTTCTTCTGATTATGGGAAGTTGCTATTCTTTCTCAAGATAATTTGGAAATATGCGGAATAACGTTGGCTGCCATGGAAACTTTTTTAAAGTATTTGCTCTTGACTCAAGTTTTAAATTTTGTCTTATCAGAATGTCTCAGCATGGCTCCTTTACTTTCATAATGAGTCATAATTGACTTAAGGTTGAAAAAAACTATTTGCTCTGTTATATTCATTGCTTTTAATTAAAAATATCAAGTTGGCAAGAATAATGTATGATAAATTTATTTCACTTGACTAGATAAATAATGTGATTATATTTTTTCTAACACAGTCTCAAAAGTGATATTCAAGGGGAAAAAAACCTTTTAAAAGACAATTTTCTGCTTTAAACGGAAATAATGTAACTAAATTTTATAAATTATATAAAAGTTGGCATAGAATTTTTTTTCAGTTCTTCTTGTGAACCGATTTTCCTTTTTTCTATTTGTTCCATAGGACAGATCTATTCAGAAATGATCCACAACTTGCTTCGCCCGGTTCTGCAAAGCAAGGATTGTAACTTGGTTCGATATAATGTCATCAATGCATTGCCCAATACAGCTGATTCACTCATTGGGAGAGCTGCACATATAGCTGTTCTGGATTCGGAAATATTTTTAGAGAAATTCTTTCTGGTTGCCGCCCTCAAATATTTCCATTAGGATTACATGCATTGGTAGAGACTTGACAATTACCTCATTCAACAGTGATTCAGATAATGTATTATATTAAACTGTAGATGCTGATAAGTTCTAAGAAATATTTATACCTTTTTATATGGAAGATAATTTATATCATCCATGTTTAGAGCTTTTTAAACATCAACTTTACTTTCTAGGTAATGTGGCTGTGCAATATTTTTTTAATTTTATCTTTTTACTTTTCTATTACATTTTCATATATTTTGCTACATAAGTATTTCAGTGAAACTCTAAGCCCATATGTATGTCTGATTGTTTATTATTGGCTTTCCACAATCCTCACATCAGACACATTGTATTAGAGGCCATTATTGCTAGAATAGCATGGGATTTTAAATTTTCTAGTATTGGGGTATATTTAGTTAATCATAAATTTTACTTTTAACATTTTACTATGTTTTAACTGGAAGTAAAATTATGGCTGCTAAAATATATTTTTTGAAATCAACTCTTTTGCCCTCTCAAATCGGGTAGTTCATATATGACAATGTTATAAACATTTTCTATAAAAGAAGCATTATTACTGTTGCTAGTAAATATATGTCATGCCTATTAAAATATATTTTCTACTGGTGATTTCAACATTATTTCTCATGTTGACTTTTATTACTAGAACTTTTCATGTTCATGTTAGCAGCATCTAGAGATTTTTGAATGTTTGAATGCCCTCTGCCTTGATTTGGTTGGAATTTTGCTAAATTTGGAAATGTTGCTTGAACTTTCTGACTACATTTCTTTAACTTTTTTCATGGACTTCCTTGTATGTACATAATTAAATGTTGAAATTTATGAACTACTTTTATGAATTTAGATAATTTTTAAATATTGTTAAAATTTGTTGAACTAAAGAGTAATGTAAATAAAATAATTCATGTTTCAAATGGAACAAAATAATTAACTTTACATGTTTGGTGATACAGATGCAAATGTTTTGATATATGGAGATGTAAAGTCTTTTGACTTTATTCAAGGTGCTGAATAGCATTAAATTCACTATTTTCCTTTCCTGTTTTACTTGTGAAAAAAAATAATGCACTAAGGATAGATAGGCTTTTGTAAGTGTGTATTGTACAACTGATGCATGTTTATTTTTAGCATTGTGTTATTGCCTCTGCTGCTAATAAATGAACAAATGACTATCTGGAGGGACAGCTAAAACACTTGCTTATTTTCAGAATACTAGAGGTATATTTTTATTTTTGCTAAACACATTTTTCATCATCACATTCCTTGGTCCTGAGTTTGAAATACCATAGTTTTTTTCTTTTATTTCTTTTTTTAACTAAAAAAAGAAGTTCACCTTATTCTAAGTTTGAATAATCTTCCAGATTTATCAAAGTATTCATTCTTATTCATAATCATGTAATTCTTTTTAAGGGAAAACTGCTCTTATGATCATAGTAGGTTGATTGGTTGTTGGTTGTTTTAGTAGTTTGGTTTTGGTTTTGGTTTTTTTTTGCGGTACGCGGGCCTCTCACTGTTGTGGCCTCTCCCGTTGCGGAGCACAGGCTCCGGATACACAGGCTCAGCGGCCAAGGCTCACGGGCCCAGCCGCTCCGCCGCATGTGGGACCTTCCCAGACCAGGGCACAAACCCGTGTCCCCTGCATCGGCAGGTGGACTCTTAACCACTGCGCCACCAGCGAAGCCCTGTTTTAGTAGTTTTAAAAGCACATCAGTGATTATGGTTTCAAGTCTAACAGATTTAACTTCTGATTTACCAGGGAAACTGTCATATGCTATTCACCTCCAAATTCAGAGTGCAGGGGTGGGGTGGAATTCTGAGGGAGAGGGTCAATGATCATAACTGACCTTAGAGAATAAATCTCATTGAAGTGTATACCAGTAAGAATTCTGGGTTGCAGACAACAAAAAACATTGTGATTAACTTAAGCAGAAAAAGAATTTATTGGAAGAATATAGGTAGCTCACAGAATTGACAGAAAGGCTGGAGAGAACCACTCTTGGAAAACTGGTAGAAACCAAGGAAGCTAGACTATGACCAAAATTATAGGCAAGTTCCAACTCCAGGGGAGCTGGAGGTCTGTGTATGTTTCTGCCAGCAGGGATGCCTCTGAAAACTAGATCCCAGACATCCACTTACTTCCATCATCACTCATTCCAGATTCAAAGTCTGGTGAGATCATACGACTGACAGGCTTAGTCTCGTGCCAGCCCCCAGGCTATCAGGCACCCAAGACAGTGAGTATATCGGACTTCGTCAGCTTCTCCAGCAGAAGATGGGACTGTTTCTCCTGCCAGAATTCACTAAACCTGTGGAATGGGTTTGATGACTGAGCACCAAATAGAAAAACACATCAGAGGTCTACTACAGTCCATCTCTTTGCCTTTCCAACATCACGAATATCATATTCACACATTTTTTAAATGCTTCGTCCTGACATACTGCTATTATCCCCCATCCAGTTTCAAGTCCAGGATTTCAGTGTTACGTCCATTTCTCGTCTGGTTTTGTAATGATCTTGCCTCAGTGGTGTGCAGCCCACAGACAAAACTGTGACTTTATCACCCCCCGCCCCCCGCCAATATACAAGGAGAGAAAAGAAATTATTAACTACATAAGCACACGCATGAGCTAGTGAGGAAGAAACTATAGCTAGAGCAGTGCTTTGCAAGTTTCCTTGGTGAACTTCAGGGCCCCAGGACAGACCAACTGAAGCAGAATCTCCAGGGTAGGATATAGGGAGCAGCGTGTTTCATGTCCCAAAGCTCTCTGATTTCAAACGAAAACAAAACTATGGTAAATAGAGCCCTTAGTTCTGTCACTGGCCATTAAGCTAGATGGCTATGACCTGTCACCAGTGCCACTTACTCCCTGTTTTCTTTGTGCTCAACCAGCACCTCAGCTGATCAGATTTCTTTACCTTTTGGGTGATCCAAGGATCTGAGGCTTGGGTGGCCTTGACTCTTTATGGTTGCAATAATCTTTGCTTAATGTTTACAATTCAACATGGTGTGAGACGTTATTCCAGGAGACGAGGTCCCCCAAGTTCTAGACAGAGTCCTCTCCCCACTCCCTTTTCCCCCGTGGTCATCAGGGCCCATCACTACAGCTAGCACCTTAACCGCTTTTCCTAACTCCTTACCTAGGGGCATGAGCTACAAATGGCCAGGAGGCAACCCCAACTTCCAATTCAGAGAAAACACTACCTATCCCCTTATACCCGACTCTGGGTACAAACTTAGCATACCAGCAGAACCTGGAATCGTGCAGACGGATGGTGAGCCGCGAAGGATCTGAGATTGTATCTACTTGTCTTGCTTGCAGTCTTGCTGCAGCTTCATGGATGCATGGAGACTGGAGACTCCCAGGTCAGAGACAAGAGACCTTACTACAGCAAAGTCGTGGCCAAACGGTCAGCACATTCACACCAGCTCCTAGAGCCTCATTTCCCACGGTGATGCTGAGGGCCAAGTGAGGCGTGTACACGCGATGCAGGACCAGGGCCAAGCAGTTTGGATTGCATTACAGGAGAAGAATCCAGAGCCAAGGGCCAAACCATTTTTGAACAAGCAGCACACAAGCCAGTTCTTTCCCCCAGGAGGGCAGCAGTTAAATGGTAGCAATGCTGTGGTTGCCTTGACCTACTTAGATGCCCATATGACCAGATACAGAAACTGCCCAGTATCAGGCAATGAGTTGCAGTTGGGATACTCAGCAATAATATGCAGGGATGCTCGGGACCCATGGCAGACTGTGTCTCCTCATAATGGAAAGCAAAATACACAGGCAGGGTGTGAGACATCACAACAAGAGGTCAATCCCTCTGCTGCTCTTTGGAGCCTGTTATTCTGTCAACAGAAGAGCTATCACTGAGCACTGTTAACTCATTTGGAGCACATGCCAAATCCTTTAGGACAGCATCCCAAAGCATTTTCTCACCTGGTTCCAAGAGTAAACCTTTAACAGGGCTGTCCTACAAGACCAGCTGCTTCTGATCTGATGGGATATGTGATGAGACTGGTTTATCCCACAGGCATCTGTATCCACAGGAAACAATGTTGTATGGGATGCTACATAAAGTGTATGGAACATAAGGTATTCAGTAAGTCCACAGGTGAAGTGTTAAAAGAAGCATAAGTCAGGGAAAGCAATCCAAACCCAGAATAATTGTCTATTCCTATAGAACAAATTGCTATCTCCTTCATTATAGTAGAGTCCCTTGTAACCAAAGCTGCCACCAGGCTATTCCATATTATATCAGGGATCGACCGGGTTGGTCACTGCAAGTAGTGGTGCTAGCCCATCAGTCTTGGCAGGGGGGAAACATGCATGTCTCCATGCCACCGTGGCTCCCTTGTTAGGGGGGGGGCACTGAGCAAGCACAGCTGGGGTGAGGGGAGGAGGCTAAGTGATGCCTGCAGAATGGTCACGGTGGTCAGCAGCCTCTAAAATGCCCTTTAGTGTTCCCCACCTGCTGGCATTCACCCCCAGTGTAATCCCCTCCCGTTGAGGTGGGCTGGATCTGCTAAGTCATTCACTTCTAATGACAGAGTTCAGTAAAAGTGATGGACTTTCACCCCTGAGGTTAGATTACAGAAGGACTGTGGCTTCCATCACGAGCAGTCTCCCTTGTTCTCCTGCTTGTTCATTCCGTGGACACCCAGCTGCCATGTTGTGAAATGACCTTTGGAAAAGCCCACGCAGCATGGAACTGAGGGAGGTCTTCAGTCCAAAAGCCACAGGGAACTAAATCCTGCCAATAATCATGTGCGTGAGCTCGGAAGCTGATCTTCCCCTAGTCAAGCCTCCATGTGAGACAGGAACCCCGGCTCACAGCCTGACTGCAACCTCATTTAACACCTAGAGCCAGAGGCACCCTGGCTCCTGGATTTCGTACGCACAAAAACTGCAAGAGAATAGATGTTTATTGTTTTAAGCCCCAAAATGTTGGTATAATATGTTAGACAGCAGTAGATAACGTGCAGTAATCTTGTTTC